TTAAGCTACACTAAAAAACATAAATAGGAACAGCTGACAGGAAGCTGAAAACTGCAATAAGCTTTCTTCTATATTATAAAATGTGGTTGACAGACATCTTTTTATAAATATATCTGTGATTACACACTGTTTTTAGACTTTGATAATTTTTTTCTGAAGGGAAATCTTTCCTTCAAATTTCTAAAAGCTAAAATAGCAAATTATGACAAGACAGAAATTAGTCCTGCCCATTTTAAAGCTAAGTTGGACCATATTCCCTAGTCCTAGGGCTTGAACTCTGGACCTGTGCGCAGTCCTTGAGCCTCTTTGTACTCAATATAGTGCACTACCTCTTGAGCCACAGCTCTGCTTCTGGGTTTTGAGTGGTTAATTGGTGATAAGAGTCTCAAGGGAGCTAGGCACCGGTGGCTCACACCTATAACCCTAGTTACTCAGGAGGCTGAGATCTGAGGATCGCAGTTCAAAGCCAGCCCAGGCAGGAAAGTCTGTGAGACTCTTATCTTCAATAAACCACTAGAAAACCGGAAGTGGTGCTGTGTCTCAAGAGGTAGAGCACTTGCCTTGAGCTGAAGAGTGCAGGGACAGCGACCAAGCCCAGAGTTCAAGCCCCACAACCGACCAAAAACAAACAAAAAGAGTCTCAAGGGGACTTTTCTGCCTGGGCTGGCTTCAAACTGTGATATTCAGATCTCAACCTCCTGAGTAGCTAGGATTATAGGCATGAGTCACTGGCACCCAGATCAAGTCTCAAATTGAAAGGGAAAATTGAAAGGCAAAAAGCCAGGTGAGGGAGAAAAGGGGAAGGAACACTATATGCCCAGACACCCCAAATATAGCAGCTTAAGACCACTAGCACACATGCTTTCCAGATGTGGCTTTGCTGTCGGATGCTGATTTAGAATCTGTCATAATTCTCACCTCACAAACATGGCTATTAGCAGGAACTCTTGATTATTTTTGTTGTTGTTGCTCATTGTGGGGTTTGAACTCAGGGCCTGGGCACTGTCCCTGAACTTTTTTTGCCCAAGGCTAGCACTCTACCACTTGAACCACAGCACCACTTTCTGCTCTTTCTGAGTAGTTTATGGGAGATAAGTCTCTCGGACTTTCCTGCCTAGGCTGGCTTTCAGAGGTGAACCTCAGATCTCAGTCTCCTGAGTAGCTAGGATGACAGGCGTGAGCCATGGTGCTCAGCTCACCTCTTCTTTGACACTAATTTTTCATCTTCCTCCTGCTTACTGCTTGTTGTGCAAGCTTTGGCACCACTTTATTAGTTCTGTTCACTTCAGTTTCAGGGTCAGTCACTGGGTCGCCCACCGCCCAATACTCCAGCTTCGGGGTCCTTTCCAGCTTAGTGATCTTCATTCCCACTCCTCTAAGGGGCTGCTTTCACGCCTAAGCTCTGGGAGACACTGTGAAATCTTTGCTGCCTTCATTCTGTTTATGGCACAGATCTCCTAGATGCCCAGTGCTGTTGCACCCTTATGTGAAAGGCTTAGTAAGGCTTCGAGTTGCTTTGACCTGACAGTTTACCAATCAAACAAAAGTGATTTCGACTAGTGTAGAAGAAAAAGGAATCCATTAAAAGATTGTAGGGAGCTCATAAAACTCAGAGGAAGCTGTAGAGACAGCGTGGACAGGAGGAGCAAGAGGAGGCTGAGCAGCGCGAGCCCCTGTGCGTGGCTCGTGATCCCCATGAGCTCCTCAGTGTGGCTGCTGGGCCACTGCCACCAGATTCCTGCCGCGCTTGTGTCTACCCTTCCCATAATGAAGTTATAAACTCTGTGTGTGTGAAGGAAGGCCGGACTAGTGTCTAGTCTCGCCCCAGGTTGGTTGAGAAACCAACCCACTTTTAAGTCTCCTGATGATGATTGTACTTCATGTTTTAAAAAACAGAAGAAACACTTAGGCCTGACTTCCTTCACTTGTTGCCCACCCTTAGACACATCTTTTACTAGTATTCTTTCTAAGTAGGAGACCATTTTATTTTATAATTATTTGTGGTGCTGAAGATTAAACTCAGGGCCTTGTACATGCTAGGCAAGAGTGTTATCATCAGCTATACCCCAAGCCCTTATCTTTCTTTAGTTATCTGAGCAGAAGAGTTGTTTCTTTTGTTGTTCAAAACGAATTTTCTTATTTGTGTTTAAAGACTTCATTAATTCTTCTCCAGGATCTTCTTTCAGCAATCAAGCCTTCCTTTGCTTTAGTAAGATTATTTATTAATATTCCTTCTTTTTGTCCATTGTGGGGCTTGAACAATTTTGTTGTTGATTTATAATGAAACACTGTATCAGTAAACCATGGTATGCTCCTGTAGTACTGTTAAAAATGGAAGATCACAACCTGAAGAATATAGCATGCAAATGCGGGAAGAAGGCGACTGCTTTTGTATTGGGAATACTGACTATTGGTGCCCAGGGAGGAGGGAGATGGGTTTGACCAGCACTGCCCCTTAGTAACTGCGATCTTGGCAGGTTGTAGAGCCTCAGATTCTTTCTTTCTCAGGCTGGCCACACCCTGCGCTTGGCAGTGCACGCAGGCACCTGCAGGGGCCGCGGGGGGCAGTGCCTACTCAGTGAGTGAATGCTAACTATTAAGTGCTATAAAAAAAAAGAGGATACGTAGCAAGAAGGACTGAAGGAAAGTACAGCAAAATGGTTAGTGTTATGTTAGAATAAAGAATGTGAGTCATTCAACATTTTCTCTTCTCCTCCTTGTCTACCACCTCTTCCTTTCCTTTTGTTTTGTTTTCTTCTTTCCAAGCCCAGTACGGGGGCTTGAACACAGGACATTGTGTTCTCGCACTTGTGGCTTGAGCCATGCCTCTAGTTCTGGCTTTTATGGCTGGTTAATTGGTGATAAGAGTCCTGATGGTTTATCTACCCAGGCTGGCTTTGAACCGTGATCCTCTGATCTCAGCCTCCTGAGTAGCTAGGATTACAGGCGTGAGCCACTGGGTCTGGCCCCATTTTCTTTTTTTTCTTTTTCTTTTTTGTGAACATACTGTACAGAGGGGTTACAATTAAATGGGCAAGATAATGTGTACATTTCTTATCAAGCATTGCAGCCTCCTCCTTTGTTTACCCTTCACATCCCTTCCCAGCCTCCCCCGGCCCCTGGCCCCATTTTCTCTTTTTTTCCTTCCTTCCTTCTTTCCTTCCTTTCTTCCTTCATTCCTTCCTTCCTTCCTTTTTTTCTTTTTTTTTTTTTTTTGTCGATCATGGATCTTGAACTCTGGGCCTGGGCACTGTCTTTTAGCTCTTCAGCTCAAGGCTAGTGCTCTACCACTTGAGCCACAGTGCCACTTCCGGCTTTTTTCTTTCTGCTTATGTGGTGCTGAGGAATCAAACCCAGGGCTTCATGCATGCAAAGCTAGCACTCTACCACTGGGCTACCTTCCCAGCCCTTCCATTTTCTTTTTACAAATCTTATTTTTTTTTTTCCTGTCACACTTTAGGTTAAAGGGAAATGAACAGAAGGTGGGAGATTCATGTCGTATCTGGTTATATTTACAATTAAAATAATTACACATATTTTGATCCCTTTCTCTCCCTTTCTGGCTTGTTTAATGCATGTTGAGACAGGTTACATATATCCGCTTATTCAGCTGCACGTGGAGTTAGCCCAGCCCCTTTCTTTCCATACCCAGCATTGGTCTGTTGGCAACTCTTGATGGTGGCTTTGTCCTTTAGCATCCTGCAGACTGTGGGGTTTCTTTTTTTTTTTTTTTTGGGTCCCGTCGTGGGGCCTGAACTCTGGGCCTGGGCACTGTCCCTCAGCTCTTCAGCTCAAGGCTAGCACTCTACCACTTGAGCCACAGCGCCACTTCCGGCTTTTTTCTTTCTGCTTATGTGGTGCTGGGGGATTGAACCCAGGGCCTCAGGCATGCAAGGCAAGCGCTCTACCACTGAGCCACCTTCCCAGCCCTGTGGGGTTTCTTCCTTGCTTACCGCTGCCCTCTGGGTTCTCTGAGCTGTGCTACACGCCGCAGCCCCAGCATGGTCCTGGTGTAGAGGCCAGAGTGAACAGAAGCAGATCAGACCCTCCATGCTGCTCCTTGAATTCAATCCAAAGCCCAAGTCTCAGAGGTAGCCATAAACTCTTATAGAATCCTTCCCCTGTCTTCAAACTTACACTTTTCTGATCTTTCCTACAGTCCTGTGCTTTCTGCTCTCTGCCTAAAATCCTCATGGAGACACCCCCAGGCAGGGCCCTTTCCAGCCTCCTGGCTCCCGTCCTCCTTCCCCAGCTCTCCTGCCTTCCCAGCTTGTTTGTCTGCTTTCCTGTAGCACCTTTTGACTTGCTGTCTGTCAGCAAATATGTACCAACATCTATCTTCCCGCTGCAAGGCAGGAATTTCTGTTTGTTTGGTTCCTGGCTGTGACCTCATCAGCTGGTAGAGTGTCGTTCGTAGTAATACTCGGTAAACATCGTTTCCTGTCCGTGAGCCTTGCCCACACCGCGTGGAAGCTTTCTGAGCGAGCCTCGTAGGTTGGTGTCCTGCCCCTCGCCCCTCCAGGCTTCCTCAGGCGTAGAACAAAGCCAGTGGGCAGGGCACGTGACAGAGAAGCGGGCAGTGTTTGTTGCTTCTGGGTGCTCTGCCGCTGGCTGGGGAGGCCCCCAAGCGACTGGAGATGGAGGGGTTCTAGGGGTGGCTCGGGGGACACATAGGTAAAACGCTCTGAGGGCGCATGTAAGATTGAAGTAACTTTGGTGTTAGGTCTTGGAAGATGGAGAGGAGTTCAGCATGCCAAGTGCTACAGAAAGATCGGGAGACAGCATGGAGCCAGGTGTGCTGGTCCACACCTCCAGCTCCGGCTCTTGAGAGTCTGAAGCAGGAGGATCTTGAACTTAGGCCAGCTGGTGCTCCATATCAATACCTTGTCTCAAAAGCAGCCCATCAGGCAAAACCCCGCAAGATTCTGAGGCTGGTTATGAGGTTTTTGTTTTGAATTTATAACTAAAGAAACATATTTTTCTTTGTCTTTTGCAGAGATAATGGTAGCAGAATTTCACAAAAAAATCAAAGAGGCATTTGAAGTGTTTGACCATGAGTTGAATAACACGGTGGATGTGAGGTTTGGAAATCTTTTTGTTACTGTCATAATTCTGAATTACTCATGCAATTTACAGGTAGGAGAAGAGTCTTCTTAACATTGTACCTCGGATTTATTATGCTATTTAGAGCGTTTTTTTGTGTCTGCAAAGGTCTTTGCTATTGACTGTTTTGGGCACATTTTGTTTCTTATTCTTCATAGTCTGGTGGATAGAACATATTCACATTGCTTATTCCAGTCTATAGATTGTAATGCAGTGAGTAAGCTGAACTCTCCTATAGCTTTAGTGCACATAGTTGGGACTCAAAAAATATTTGTCAAGTGAATGAGTAGACTTTTTTTTTTTTGTCGGTCGTGGGACTTGAACTCTGGGCCTGTGAGCTGTCCCTCAGCTCTTCAGCTCAAGCTCAAGGCGAGCGCTCTACCAATTGAGCTACAGCGCCACTTCCGGTTTTCTGGTGGTTTATTGGAGATAAGAGTCTCATGGTCTCTCCTGCCCGGGCTGGCTTTGAACCTCAATCCTCAGATCTCAGCCTCCTGAGTAGCTAGGATTACAGGCGTGAGCCACCAGCGCCCAGCTGAATGAGTAGACTTTAAAAGATATGCAGCTCGTATTATCAGGACATCACGAATAGGCTATTACAAAGAAAGAGTAACAAAGTGTACAGAACAGCGCCATGGCAAAAAGAACAAAACACATAAAAAACGGAAACATGAGCATTGGCAGAGGGACGACAACCAGAGGGACCATGACCAGAGGGACGGTGACCAGAGGGACCATGACCAGAGGGACCATGACCAGAGGGACGGTGAGCAGAGGGACGGTGAGCAGAGGGACGGTGACCAGAGGGACGGTGAGCAGAGGGATGGTGAGCAGAGGGACGGTGAGCAGAGGGACGGTGAGCAGAGGGACGGTGACCAGAGGGACGGTGAGCAGGGGGATGGTGAGCAGAGGGACGGTGAGCAGAGGGACGGTGACCAGAGGGACCGTGACCAGAGGGACGGTGAGCAGAGGGACCATGACCAGAGGGACGGTGACCAGAGGGACCATGACCAGAGGGACGGTGAGCAGAGGGACGGTGACCAGAGGGACGGTGACCAGAGGGACCGTGACCAGAGGGACCATGACCAGAGGGACGGTGAGCAGAGGGACGGTGAGCAGAGGGACGGTGAGCAGAGGGACCATGACTAGAGGGACCATGACCAGAGGGACGGTGAGCAGAGGGATGGTGAGCAGAGGGACGGTGAGCAGAGGGACGGTGAGCAGAGGGACGGTGAGCAGAGGGACCGTGACCAGAAGGACGAGGAGTGGGCTGGTGAGGGTGACCATGGGACGCCGTGCGGGGCTCGCGGTGTCCATGCGCCTTGAGCCTGCTGTCTTCCCTCAGGAGGGGCCAGCAGACCTAGGCTGCATAGCGGCGGGTCTGTGGTGACGGCTCGAGGTTCCCTTATCTCTGTGGAATGGTGGCAGCCCACCCGCGTGAGTGGCTTACCACTAGCTAGACTTGGAATGGACTCAGCTGTCCCTATACTGAGGAGGGGCTGCCCGGAGGGCTCTAGGCAGACTTCTGCGGTTCCAGGCCCAGCTTTGTGACTGGGAGGAACTGATTTCTTCTCTTGGTGCCTCAGTATTACATTTCCTCAGAATCATCAGTGTAAGTCATCGGTCTGGGGACCCTTGTATGTCCCCAGGGCCTTTACAGGTGACTGAACACATACTCTTCTTTTTTTTTTTTT